ATTATTTTTATATTATATATAACGATTTAAGTTGCTACTTATTATATATATTATTAATATTTATTTGTTTTAGTTATATTTAATATCTTTTTGTTTAAAGAGAATGAGAAAGAGAGAGAGAGAGAGAGAGAGAGAAATAAATTAAAGAATCACATGACTAATAAAGAGGATAAACTTAACAATAAATCAATCATACATTATATATATAACCAACTTCTTCCGATTTATCATTCAAAATCAGAAAACATAGACAAACAAGATATTTATTATATATTTTAAAAGCTAAAAAGATTATATATTTGGACAAGGCTTTTTAGCAAACTTCTCTCCTTAGACATTTTAAACTATAACAGACATAGGCATTTTAAAATATAATATCTTAAAATTTTAATTCCGTTTTACAGCATATCTTAATTCGTGCTACATACTATAAACATTTTCCAAAACTAAATTGTTTGATGATTATTTTCTGGTGTTCTATATATGTTTTCTAACTATAAATTTTTAATTATAAGTTGATGTAACGATGATATGTATGTTAGATTCGTATATTGTATCTTGTGTGGATATTGCATCCTTGCATTCTGTGAATTTACATGAAAGTACATTTACGAAAATACATCATCTATTTATAGCTCTGTTTTTAAATAAAAACAAATTTTTTGCAGAAATGCAGCTAGCTTTTACTTGCATTCCAATTTCTGCAAAAACGAGAAGAAGAAGAGAAGAAGAAATAACGAATTCCGGACACGGAAATCAATTAGTTACATCCGATTCAATTATGCAGTAACTAAATGATCTGATTAGGAGGAGGAGATTGGGCAGTAAATCTGTAATATTAAGATAAAGATGAATTTGTGACTCGGTTCGTGGTGTTAAGACATGGATGTACGAAGTGGAGTAATCCACATTTAAATAACTACAAAGAAGCCATACATCCATACTATCTGGAATATATAATTATTCGCCATGGCTGTATATATGATTGATATTTACTGAAGATGATAATTTTTTTATGTGCCATAAATATTTTTCGGTACTATTATTGATATATCTAATATATCTTAATCGTCTAAATTTACGGCAACGTGATATTATTGAATAAATATAAAATACTAGATATTATCAAAATATAATTTATTTTTTATTGTATAATAGAATAATAGATGCTCATTACTCATTGCAGTCCAAAGATTTTGTTTGATTTGTATATAATGTTCTCTCTTATATACGATTTCAGTGATAATATCAACTATCTATCTAAAATTAAAACATCAAAAGAGTTATTTATGATATTGAAAGTTATGAATTCTAAAGTTGTATGCATTTTTGTTACTAATATATGAGAAATAAAAAGACAAAAATATTTTTATTAAATCATTTTCATTATATATCTCTTTCTTACTTTATGTATGTTCTGATTTAGTAATGGACTCTTTACAGGGCGCTTCGCACGACCATTACAACCCTGCATTCTAAACTGAACCCATTAGGGGTTCTTGGCCTGCAGATGAGCGTAAAGCACAAAAGCTTATCGACTCGGAGAGCGGAGAGTTGTCACGTATATTGGTTACAAGAGTGTCATTTTTTAAAATGTCGGTAGATATATATAAATTGGAATCACAATGTGGGAAAAATCTGTCAAATCTTTCTTCGAAGGTGCGTATCCTAACTGTTATTTGATTTTTAATGTGTTTATCTTGTTTTATTGTTTTGCATGTTTGTAAAAACTCTTTCTGTTTAAAATATGCTCCGTTCAAATCTATTCTATGTAAATATTTCGGTAGGATGCTGATTTTGACAGTCGATCTATAACTGCACTGATTAAAAATTAATTGTTATTTGAAATTCAATGCACTGAGAAAAAAAATTGTTAACTTGATTAAATTCGTCCAACTAATTACTATTTTTTTGTATTTCTTTAATTAAAATATTAAAATATTTAAGTCAAATACGACGTATTAAATCTAACATGACGTATATTTGAATATATATTTAAATTTTAAATACTTAAATACTTCAATTAAAGAAATACAAAGAAATAGTAATTAGTTGGACGAATTTAGTCAAGTTAACAATTTCTTTTTTCTCAGTGTGGTTAAAAGAGTTTTGCTTATAATGATAATTATTCTTTCCGCAATAAATTTTTGTATCTAATGTGATATGTCTTTTGCTTATCATTCTATTAAGATATTTTTGCATTGAGATATTCACCAATTATCGAATTTTGCATTTGATGTTTGATTATTCCGCTAATGTAAACAACAACTTATTTATGTCTTGTTTATTTTTAGGATATGAAAATCATGGACATTTATCATTATCTCATCAATGAAATTTCGGGTAAGTTAGATGAATGAATAAGTAATTGAATAGAGATATTATGTACATGTGGAATATATTATATAACGGATGAAAATAAAAAAATGTAATATTTGATAGCATATAATAACGTATGAAAAATATAGTTATTTCGTTGAGTATCTATATTGAGAGGCTTTTTTTGTTACTAAATATGTAGATAATATTTTTAATTTCTTTCTTTTACAATTACATATTTTTTTAAATCTTTTTATGCATTGCATCACAATGTCATTACAATCTTTTTTATGGATTTAAATATGTTATTGCACATAAATATAGCATTTTATTTCGAAACTTTAAATTTTTTTTTTGTTTTGCAGATTCCAGAGTTTCTAATTGGCTATTCATGTCAAATCCATTTGGTATAACACTAATTTCACTCGTTTATTTATCTTTTGTACTTTACTTTGGACCACGTTATATGAAAAACAGAAAATCTTACGCGCTTACAAAGACTATGATTTGTTACAATATTTCTGTCGCAACTGCAAATCTTGTTATATTTTATGGTGTAAGTATAATCAATAAATTATATATATATATATATGCGTGCATATTATATACGTAAATATTTTTAATTTTAAATGTTCCATTTTATTTTCTCTGTCTTTTAGATACTTACATCGGGTTATACCACCCATCTTTCCATGGGATGTGAGCCTTTTGTAATTTCAAATGATCCTATGTCGCTTAGCGTAAGTATATATATAATTAAAGACTATAATAAAATTAAGTTTTATATGTATACTACTTATTTTTTGAGACTTTTCTGAAAATATCTAAAATAAAATTATATATATATA